GCTGAAAGAAGAGCAGGTCGTTCCTAAACCAGAAGAGGAGGCTGCACAGGAGAAAAAGATGCCAGAGGAACTGAAGAAACAAAAACTTAGGGCCCGGGAGTAAACTCAGCATAAAATAAACGCTGATAAAAGTAAAAAAAAAAGGTTAGATCCTGCTTTTAAGTATACTCACTTAGCAGTGAGCACTTAATAAGTGTGTTTGATGCACCTACCACCCTGTTAGGCACTGGTGACAGAAAGGTGGACAGGACCCGGCCCCTGACCTGCAGCAGCTTGCCTTTGACTCCAGTGGGCGGAACATACGCTCAGTTGGACCAAATCTTTCCATAAAGCACCCAGTTTCAGGCTGTGGGTGGAGAGAGAGCAGCATCGGCGGGTGCACAGAGGGCAGAGTTCTTCCTCTGACTGGGCATCGCAGGAGGCTTTAGGGACATGTGCTGGAGCCCAGGCTGAATTACGCTTTCCTAGGAAATGGAGACAGCTTTGTAACTGCCCTGGTGGCTCAGGACACGATAGCTGTTAATGTTTTTTGTTTTTTTTTTGGTTTTTTTTTAAGAATCTTGCTTGCCCATCATGTATTTTATTACTATGGGCATGCATGCCTGCATACTAATTTAATAAAATAATGAATAATTTATGTTTTTACTCAGTATAAATTATAGGGATGGGGAGTGAAGAGCCTCGATAGGCAAACTCTGGGATTCCTTTTTGCAGTTGAAATATTTTTGTTTCTTAAAGGTTTCAGAGAAGGTGGGAGATATGATCAGAGTTATTTAAGGAGTATTAATCTGGCTGGTAATGTGGCAAGAAGGAATTGGAAGGGATAGCTTTGAGGAGAGCAGGGCCGTCAAGTGCCCTGCAGAGCAAAACAACATGAATAAAATGGGGAAGATGTCAGGTCCCACAGGAGAATGGGAGGGCCACACAGGCCTTGCATTTGCAACTAAAACGAGGCGACAGCCGCCCAGGGTGAGTAAGAGGCACTGGTTGGAAGGAATACATAGCGCAGGTGCCAGAGAATTAACATGGTAGTTACTGTGGATCTGATGACGTTTAAGACCCTGGAAGTGTCCTGTATTCATGATTAGAAATTTTTATTGCCTCAGCCAGGCTCTCAGGCTCTCTACTTAAACGCTTTCAGTTCTCACTGAGGTTCTCAGTTCTATGAGGTGCTGGAAAGGATTTGCCTGATGTCCTAAATACAGTTTATGGCTTTTTTTTTAACCATCTCCATACTCGAGTGCCATCTTTAAACAAGCTAAGGTTCAGGCCTAGTTGATGAGCAGAAGGGATGCCCTTTATATATTCTCTCTTGGCCAACCAAGTTCTTCTCTAAACGCAGGTATCAGACCCTGTCCAAGTGTGGAGCCTTCTATGCTCAGGGGCAGACATTCCCGCTATGCCCCCTTCCTTTCCATTCCAGCAGTCTCAGTTTCTTTAATATGTTTTCCAGTTTTACTGTGCTAGGGCCCATGCTAAAAACCCCCCCTCTTTCTCCTGTGTCTCCCTTCCTCCCCTTGATAGGAGGCTCTCCCCAGTTTTCTTATAAATGCCTTTCTCTAACCCCCCTCCCCGTGCCTTTGGTCTCTCCAGCAGTCATCCTGGCAGCCTGACAGGTGATTGGCAGATGAGTGTGTGGCACTGCTCTCCACCTCAGTTCTCCCCAGCAAGGCAGCCTGTCTCAACCCTTGACTTTGATCCCTAAAGATTACAACTGATTGCTCTGAAATCAGCCCCAGTGAAGCCAGTATCTGCAGGGCTGGCAAGAAGTAAATTACGTACTAGTTGATATTTCAACATATTTAGCTATACAGAAGTGTTTAGTCTTTTCAAAAATTATCACCTCCAACTGGCGTCACATAAATTATCCTCATTAGCCTGAAGCAGTGGGACATGCCTGCTGTCGTCGCCAAGACTCTGTGAGCCCTCTTCTGTTGCTTCACCTCCTGTAGTCAACCTGTACAATGGAGAATTTGGTTTTTTTTGTACTTTTCCAGAGTCTTGAGAAAAATTGGAAGTCATTTAAGGTCTTTTTATAATCCTCCAAGCCTGTGTTTCCTAGGTAACATTTTAGTGTCTCATTTTATACTTAAGTTCATATATGCCATACCAATCCTTGACTAATTTTAGCCTTTAACTTGAATTGGTTCAAGTAATATTTTTCCCTAATAAGAGCAGTATTAAACTGAAAGTTGATTACCTATACTCTATACTCTGACGTGAGTTTCTTTTAAAATACTTTACTAAATATTTAAAAACTGGGGTGAAGCATTTAGAAGAACTTGATTGTATGGCTTTGCTTATTCAAATACTCTGAGATTTGTACAACCCAAGACCACCAGTGGATTTATAAGGAAAGTAAGTTTAATTAAAATGTCAGTTTCCTAAATGTAATTATTTGATTCAGACTGCGAAGGATTACTTTAGCTAGCTTTTTATGAAACACTGGAGGGCACTATTAGGAAATTCCCACAGCAAGAGAAAGAATGTGATGAATTTGACAGAGCAGTTGGTGGAGTTTTGAATGAAAATGCCACTTCTCATGGAGGTGTTCAGACTGCGTCTTCCTGGAACTGCCTTTGGATGCTGTCATATTTCAAGTTGAACTGGCTAAAATGGTCATAGGGAAGGCCACGTGAGCATAGTCAGTGACTGTCAGCTCATGAAAAAAAAATCCAAAAGTAAATAAAACACTCTTTAGGATCTCAATAGAACGCTGGCTTGTGGGAACTCAAGTAAACTTGTTTCCTCATGTATGAGTTTGTGCTCCATTGAAAGGGTAAGACATGTCCCATTTATGGACAGTTAATTACAGGGCAGCGTCAGCCCCTAGTGGCCCCGTGTCACCATCTGACCCCCTTGCACTGGGGAATGGGCCTGGCTACGGCATTTCCAGTAGCTCAGGAGTCAGCCAGCAAGAATTAGAGCTTTGTCACAGGTAGATAGTTCCTGGAATGGTGACCCCTTCTTAGTCCATTGCTCTACTTCTAGATAGAAGATATCTTTAAATCTCCCCAAGTCTATAAAATAGTTTAGATTTGCTAACAGCTCCCTCCCTTTTATCTGTACTTTAATAAGTTTTTCAGACCTCTTTGGTCCTCACTTATCTTCCCTAATGTGAGGGGACCCAACTGGCATCAACAACTTAACATTTTCTTCTCTATGGAACTTTATTGTATGTTCCTACTATTCCCTGGTAGATGAAACAATTTTTTTTTTTTTATTGTGGTAAAATGTATGTAAGATAAAGTTTACCTTTTTAATTATTTTAAAGTGTATAGTTCATCAGTATTAAGTACATTCACATTGTTGTAACAAAGAGATATTTTACAGTGAAGAAAGCTAAAAGATATGTAAGAATTCACATAGAAATTTTGTGTCAGAAGCTGTGCTATATCCCAAAATATACATGTATAGGAGACATTTGTGTGGCTGGATAATATTTTTATGATGATCTGACTTCCTGGTGACTATCATAAAGGATACTTGGGAAAATACAGTGAAGCCCCTGTATTGTATGTGGCTGTATTTAAGAGTTCACATATGTAAATAGTTATACATAGCAAAATGCATCCTTAACATTCATAGGTCTAAGAGTCATGCAGCAAAGTATTTTCAAGCAGCCCTGTGGCCCCTTTTCATCTATTTCTGATTTTGCTGTGGTGCGGACATGAGGCTGCTGTCAGGACACGAGCCCAGCAAGTCCCCAGCACCTGCAATTCAAAGAGGCTGTTTGGTTTTTAACATGTTCTCAGAGCGGTGCATCTCCCACAGCAAGATGATTTTGGGTGTTGGGATGAAAAATTCCTGTAAAAGAGCTAACTGTAAAAATAATGTGGTTTAGGAAAATGGTGGTTTTTATATAGAAAAGAAGGGCCACATCAGAGTGACCCGTGTTCCCAGCAAGCACTTTCTCGGCAGCTGCAGATACACGTCGAGGAGAAGCTGAGCGGCCGAGCCTCCCTGCGCCCTGTGAGCAGCGAGCCTCCCTCCGTGTTTACAGTGACCGAGGGTATTCCGCTTGGCTTAAGAGAAACCCGGCTTATCCGCAAGGGTGCAGAGTTCCCTGCAGACCTTTTGTATTAATTTTTTTATTGCTGAACAAGTTACCACAAGCTTAGCAGCTTAACACAACGCACATTTATCACCGTTTCCATGGGTCAGGAGTCCAGACACTACATGTTGGTTTTTGCCCAAGGTCTCCCGAGGCCATAATCAGGGTCTCAATTGCAGTTGCATCTCTTTCTAGAGCTTAGATCTCTAACAAGTAAATGTTATTAAGCAAAAATTGCTTGCTTGAAATGTAGTTCATTTGAAGAGGATAATTAAGATCCTACCATCTTTGTGTAAATGATACTATTAATTTTCTTTAGAGACTAAACATCAGGGGAAGGCAGGAAACATAAAGAAAAGAGTAGAGAAAATGAAGAAGTGAGGAAAGTGGTACCTAGAGAAAATCTTTGCTTCTTAAAGAACATGTCATATCGCTTTCCACATGGTGAAACACACAACCCATAATAGTACAATTTGGAGTCCATTGATAAAATAGCACCAAGATATTTCTGAATCGACCACTTCACTCCTATTTCATCTTTTAAAAATGAGAAAACCTATGCAAAAGTGACATTATAATCATGAAGGTAAATATCTGAAATTAAACAATGTTAAAGAAAATAATCTTATCAAATTGTGGGTATTTAATGTAATATATTTAACAGCCTCCCACCTATTATTAGATTGCTAGCTTTTTATTTTTTTTATGCCTAAATAAAATCTGTTTGATTTTAATGTGTTGTCATTTATATATTAACCAGAGATTTCTGCCCGCATTTCTCATTTAGTATGTAAAATATTATTTAAACAGTTTAAGTAAATGATTCTGGACTATTGTCTATTCCAGATATTGTGCAATGATACTCTGCTTTGTAATAAACTAGATAATTTTTTAGAATGAATATAGCATTTACTTTTTTCATCTTTCTTTTTGCTTATCTCATTAGCTAAGAAACCTTTCCAGCCTGGACCTTCGTCATATCACTGAACTGGATAATGAAACCGTGATGGAAATTGTCAAGAGGTGCAAAAATCTTAGCTCTCTCAATCTCTGTCTGAACTGGATCATAAATGACAGGTAACAAATGTAACATCTTAAAAACAGTTTCCAGAAGGAACACATGTGTTCTGTGTACCAAATACTAATTATCATTTTAACGAGGCATGTCAACTTGAAGGAAAATTTAATGTAGCCAAGCCTTTCCAAATAGACGTGTTTAAGTTTTGAAAACAGAGGTGTACACTTTAATCCATCTACTGCCTGTATTTGCAACATGGTTTTCATGTGCTAAGACTCAAATGTTTGCCTAAACAGTTGTACAACAACAGTCTCTTGAATTTTTTTCTTTGTCACCCATCCAGGATATATTGCTATTTGTCACTTTAATATTTTTGCAACTTTTATGGTTAATTTCACTGTTCACTTATCAAGGAAAATGATTCTTAGGAACTATTTCAAACATTATACATTCATATACTTTCTCAAGGATGACATTTTGTTCTCTGAATAATACAATTTGTTTTGAAAGTGAAAGTCATGTGATGGACAATTTAATACATAGAGTAAAGATGCGTATAACAGATAGCTTTTTTCATATAAACAAGTGATAAACAGTGATAAACGTTTTTCTTTGAAATATTGCATGAAGGAAACAAAAAGATGCAAGAACCCTTGAGAGTAAACTTTTTTTTAATAATGAAAAGAACTGCAAAGTACTACTATTCTACTGCTACTGATTAGTTTAGGTAGGTTCTTATATATGAACCTACCTTAGGCATGAGACAAATTTTTGCCCAGTAACTTTTCAAGAGTAAGTTTTGTGTGAAGACAGACCACCAAAATATTTTGCTTTCAAAATAGAAAGTACTATTTAGCTAAAATTAGAACCTATTTAGAGTTAAATATTTTTCACAAATAGCAGCAATAATTTAAGTTTGTGTCTGAGAATGCTTTAATTTCAAGACATTTTCCCCATCCACTTTTTAAAAAATTAAATCTATTGGGGTGACATTGGTTAATAAAGTATATAGGTTTCACCCCCCTCCACTTTTAATTTTCTTTTATACTTTAAAAGTAAAACCAGGTAGGATCTGTTTTCCCCAATTATGGCAAATTCTAATGACATTTTAAAAAATTACCCTGCATTGCTCTTGAAATTATGCAATAACCTTTGAGTTGGCTCTGTCTTAGTAAAATTTTTCTTGAAAAATTTACTTATCTAGAATGGGCACATGGTCATCATTTATAAAAGGTGTTTGTTTTTGAGTAATAGTCACTGTATGACGTATATAGAAATGTGAAGGAAATTGATAAACATTTTAAAAATAAAATTCTCTATAATCAACATTCTTCATAATGAATTATATGACAACTTTAAAATAATCTTTTAAGTGTTTTTCATAACAACTAATAAAGTACATGAAAACATTACCCTGTTGTTTTAGGTGCTTACCGTTAGCTTAATGTTGAGATAAACTTCCTAGAAATGCATCCGATTAAAAGGAGAAAACCGTTTCTGTAACACTGGTTATGAAAATGATTTGTCTTTCATTCTACAACAGTTTTCTGTGTATCTGCTGGGTAGAAGAGTCAGTACTTGGAGAGTAAATAAGATACAGTCTATATATGAGTATAAGGGTTATCTCTTAAGTAAACAGTTTGCTTAGATTTGTATTATTTAAACAAAGATATTCAGGGGTTTCAATTCTTCAAGCTCTTCAAAAGCTCATTCAGTTTAACTTGGTATTTACAAATGAAAAACTGGGCAGTTCTCACTTTGCCTTTTCTTCCCTTTGTTAGGCTCTATCTACCCAAACCTCTTGCTGTTTCAATCAGTTTTTTCCTACTTCACTGTAATGGTTATTTGGTATTTGATCCTAAATATATGTACTGATATATGTACTATAGAGATTTATTTGCAAGGAATGAAAGTGTATTTTTATGTTTTTAATGGAAAAGTTTGGATTAATTGAGAAAACATGCATTTTAATGAGGTTGAGCCGTAGAGTTTTAAAGATCAGACTCTTAGGTTTTAATTACAGTGCTTACACTTATCCTGTGTACTGCAATAGAAGTTTCAGACATTAAAACCCGCTTTGCAGTATCATCTAAATTACTCATCTCATTGTTCTCGCCGTACTCTTTCACTAAGCTAAGTAATATTTGTAATTATGTTGGTATAAATCTAGGATTTCCCATCAGACTTCATTATAATTTTGGCACTTAGCTCAGATGGGTTGGTGACCTTTCGTATAAAGGGCGCCGGGATGCACTAATGCATTTAGCCTATCACTTAGCATCTCTTTTACATTTGTGCATTATTATTATCCTCTAGTGGATCAGAAGCATTTATTAACCCCCTACTAAATACTTGGTACCGTGTCTCAGACTGTGGGGCACTGAGTCCCTGCTGCTCGCAAAGGTTGCTCGCCAGGTGGCATGAGACTTGCTGGAGGAGGCAGGAGTGAGCCAGGTGAGGATAAGGGGCAGAAGAGTAACCTTCATTACCAGGCAATTAATAGGCGCTTTACAGGCGCTCTCGCTTAATTCTTTCAACATCTTTTGTTCAGTGGAAGGTTATGCCATTTCTATTAAATGTAGACCATTTGCTTGCCTTTTCTTTGGCTTTTCTGATGGATGTGTTTCTCCATCATTGCTGCAGTAAAATCTGATGAAGACAAACAAGAAAAAGCAGGCAGCTAATGAGTCAAGTTTCCATGTCATAGTTGGAATTCACACGCAAGTGACATTTATTTGTAAGACTTTTAGTTTTCGTCTTTAGAACTAATCTCATTTCTTTCTTTCATAAAGTATGCTAGAACCTTTTGATAATATATTATACGTAGTATGTGTAAAAAGGACCCATGTTTAGTGCTGCTAGCTTTAATAGAGAATTCCTCCCATGAAGATAAACTGATACTCTTCTCAGATCTTAGATACAAGGCTTATCCTGCATTTAAAAGCGCTTATCTGTAAACTCTTTTTTTAAGTTCAAAATTTTAAAATATGAGGTAATGGAAGGTCTTTACTGTTATGCTCATGGTACCTTTTAGCGTTTTGAGGGCCTTGCATTGATCTGTGTGACTGAGACGTGCTGTTGTTTATTCTTGTTTTTCTAAAAGCACTTTTTATATTTAGAGAGTTAAACGGCGTGATATTTTCTTGTATTCAGAAGGATGGTCTAGTAGTCATTTGACATTTACCATTGCTTTTGAATATAAATACAACTCAAGTGGTTTATGAAAAGAAGACACTGACTATTTCTATCAATGATATAAATTAAACATCTGGTGGTTATGTCTCTGCCACTCTCCCTGACTCCAAGCTTATTGAAATGTTTATTTGTATTTGATATAAATCTTTTGTTATTTCACATTCAATTTGGTCTTCATTGTTTTGGCACAGAGTCAAAATCAGCATGCTTTGGGTATAAAAACTGATATGTGAAAAAACTGAATGGTTCTGAGCATTTTTATAGTGATACGCTTATAATGGCTCTTTCGTTCTTTTTTTGCCAATAAAAATTAAGTAAAATCTAATTGATTTTAATAGATCTTTACAAAAGATATTTTAATATTTAAATTGGCTATTAAAGAGGGAATTAATCGTCCCATTTTCAATTTTTAACATTAGTCTTGAAAATAAAGTTCAGTCGTATGATATATATATACATATATATACACCCATTATCAAATACATGATTCTTTCATTGACAGTAGACCAACATTTCTAATAAATTAAGATAACAGGAGAGGATACCAATACCAGAGGATTGAAAGATTCTCTAGCACCCAGCAGTTGAAGTCACAAACCAAAACAAAAGTCAAGCTGGTTGTTAAAGTAAATTATGTTGCCAACTAGTTGATCTTGCCTAGCTAGAGATTTACTCTTTGAATTTGCAGTTAAAAAAAAAAAAAAAGTGTGAAGTTTATTGATCATTCTTTAAGGAGAAAGTTTGCAGTGTGAATCTTGTGTTTATCTAAAGGGGGCTGTGGCATCCGTGGACACTCTGAAAGGTGGAGAATTTTAAATCTTAGACTGTTCAGACCAGTTTCTTTCAAGTATAAAATAACATTTGCAATATGTTGGTATTTCGCTTTATGTGTACTAGTGTTTAGAATAGTAACTATAGATGTTTTCTCTTTAAATAAAACTTTTAAATAAGATCACTTGAAGTCGCACGCTTGTAGGTGACAGCTGAGTTCAGTCCACACAACTGTTTTGTTTGGCCTCTACAATATTTTAAAAGTTGAATTATTTGCCAGCACTTTAAAAATTGGGATAGTCCACATGGAAATTCTGAATTTCAGCCTTCTCTTGGAAAAGTTGCAATCTAGCAACATTGGACCCACATTTTCTCACGTCCATGATTTTCCCAGGATGAGGAATGGGCTGTTCTCTTTGGCTGTTCTCCATTTCCTCACCATTCCATCAAACATGATCAATATTATTTTATATTAAATGCCTGTCTCCACCCAGCCTACGCTTTGAATTCTCCTGTATTAAAATCCAGAATGTAGAGATTTTTTGATATTTCTGATTTTAAATTGAATAGTTTTTAAAATTGTGTCTGATAAAATATATTAACAGAAAATAGAGAGTTAATCAATCTGCCTAAATTATTTCTTCATTATTTCAGGCATCAGAACTTTGTCCAACAAGTGCAAGTTACAGGGGGAAACAGAACTCATCTTAAAATAAGTTAAAACCTTTATTTTCATTGACTACCTTCCAAAATGGAGAACTCACTCCTACTTTGGATTCAAACAAGAGTGTTAAGAAAAATTTCCTGAATTATAAAGAAAGTTGAACTAGTTCACTAAACTCCCTCCGACTTCAAGTCTACGATTTAAAATGAGTTTATTTACAGTGCTTAGTATTTCATTCATTATTCCTTTGTTTATAACATTAAGAAAAATCTTAACAATATTCTTTCTCTTTTGCTTTTCTGTGTTTAGCCCTGTTTTAGTCTTTTAGGAATACTCAGGTTGAATTTGTAGAGTGACAGATTACTTCACCACCTCTTTCAGGGTGACTGACAGCACCCTGGCTCATGTAAAACTCAATGAGGCATTCTA